TCTTTCACAACGCGCGCTGCGCCCGCCACCACAAACCACATCACAATCACAGCCACAATGGTGGCAGCAATAGCAACAACAGCAATGGCAATAATAACAACAGCAGTAGTAATGGTTTGGCGAACGGTGCGACGGCGAATAGCCTCACCGATTTGTGCCACCATCAATTGGGCAATCCACCCGCACACGGACATGGACACAATCACGCACACACGAATGGCGGCGGACATCGACGTAAATCGGAATCAGTGCTATCTACAGACTCAGATATACGTTTTACACGGCGTAAATTGGGCGATAGTCAGAAGTGCGGCTGTGCTGTGATAGCGGGTTTTCTAGTCGCCCTTCTAGTGGCTGGCGCATTCGTATACGTGGGATGTAAGTGACGCAGTCTTAACTAAATTATAGTGTTCTACGTAAGAAATGAAGACTTCCACGAAAATTAAAAAATTAAAAAAAAAAAAAACAGTGTTTGAAGAAATAATGTTTTTTTTTTAAATCGCAAAAATCAGAAAAAATGTTTACTTTGACCAGATATAACTCAGCGAGTTTTCGAATTTATCTGAACAAGTTTTGCCAAATTTTTGTGATGTACAAAATTTAGTAACCGGTGTTTAGGACCACCCTAATAAAAATAGTTAATACTTTTAATTAACGTGCCATTGCCGTCTTCTAGATACATATTTCCGCCCTGAGCCACTGCCGGATCGGACTTTCCGTGGAAAATTTTTGGTCATGAACGACAAATGGTCTATGGAGCTTGTGGATCAAAATTCTTTGAGATTTAATCATAAGGCACGCGATTTCCGGGAACGCATTAATCTGATAGTAAGGCGCTCTGATTTGCGTGAAGCGTACGAAGGCAGTGAAATATTGGCTTTAGATGGGTAAATTTACGACTTGCATTTTTTGTGTGCCTTGAAATTTGAAAATGTTTTACAAAAATTTAGCACCGAGGACATCAATGAGGTCGTCGTACATTTTAACCTTATATTCGACCCATATGCGGGTCTTGTGTCTACGGCGGACCTCTTAGCACTCTTCGCAGAGGAGATAAACTCACCGAATCGCAAATATTTTGCCAACATGACGATAGATCCACAAAGTTTAACCATCAAAGAGGTAACTGGCCTGATTGAGGAGCCCATCATGTCTTCTTCACCACTTGGCGGTGAAGACGAGACCACCGAGGTCATTACCACCACACCCAAGCCACCTCGTCGTTGTGAGCCGCTTAAATTGAATTACTGCCGCTCGATCGGCTATAATATTACAACCTATCCAAACCTCTTGGGTCATCACTCATTCGAGGAAGTGCAAGCCGATGTCATAGCATTTCGTGAATTAGTCGACGCAGAGTGCTTTCGTGAGGCTTTCGACTTTGTTTGTCGCCTACTGCAGCCACCATGTGATACACACGGTACTCTCGAACCTACGGCGGGCATTATGTGTCGTGAGTATTGCCAGCTTTTCATGAAGGGTTGCGGTAGTCGATTGCCTGCGCGCTTCAAACAATTTTTCGATTGTGAAACTTTTCCTGAGTCAACGGGCATACAGAGTTGCCATCACAAGCCGCATTGTGCGCATGATTTGCAGAATAATGCACAAAGTCCACGGCTCTGTGATGGTTTCGTGGATTGTCCAGATTTCTCCGACGAACGCACCTGTACATTCTGCACGGGCAATGCATTGTATTGTGGGCGAGGGCGTGCTTGTGTGGCGCGTAAGGCGCGTTGCGATGGTAAAGCAGACTGTCCGGATGGATCTGATGAAAAAGATTGCCGTAAGTATTTAAGAAAAATAATCGAATAAAAACATGTTTGTATGTAAACATTTCTCTTCCTCTCTCCACCAGTTGCAATAGCTCCATTTGCTGCCGATCTTCTGAAACCAGAGCCAATGGTACCTTATTTGCCACGCTTTCACTCTCAAGGTTTCGCGGTGTTCTCCGAAAAGGGTATTGTAGGAAAACTATGCGCAGAGGGTCTCGAGAATGATAGTAAACTGATAGTACGACAAACTGTGGCAGAATCGCTTTGCAAATCACTCGGCTATGAGTAAGTAAAATTTTATATTTATATCACCTTTAATTTTATAAAACAACAAATTTACATTTTTTCTTAGATCTGTGGAAATATTTGAAGTGCGCAACGATACCGAAAACGTGGAAGATTATGTGCGCGTGCTCGATCCACATGCGCCGGAGATCTCCTTCATACGCACCCATTGCCAGAAGCGTCAGGTACTCTATGTGGGCTGTGGTGAGCTCCAGTGCGGCGTGCAGTCGGTTTTATCGCCCAAGCAGTATTTATCGTTGCCCAAAATGTCTTCACCCGGTGACTGGCCTTGGTTGGTAGCGCTATATCGTGAGGATATACATGTTTGCGATGGAACGCTGGTACGTCCTAAAACAGTTAGCCTTGATTTTGGATATAAACTACTATTCCTTACTCTCTTTCTCTCTCCAACCCTCTGTAGATTTCCCGTGACTGGGTTCTCACCACTGAATCCTGCTTTCAAGGTCAACCACGTGCCACATGGATGGCCATATTCGGCGCAGTGCGTCTTTCATCGAACGCGCCATGGACTCAGCGTCGCCGCATTATTGGCTTGATAAAGAGTCCAGTGGAAGGCTCTACAGCGGCATTGATACGTCTCGAGACGCCAATCAACTTTTCCGATCACGTGCGTCCCATATGCTTACCTGATGAGATTAAACGCAGACAGGAACAACAAGCAAAACGTCGTGCATTTGTACCAAAGGCTGAACGATTAGAAGGCAAGCAACCAGCGCCGACCGTGCCACCCACACCCAGCGCTGTTCAACGCCGCCTAGCGGAATCACAAAAATTCTTTGTTTCTCCAGCAGTTGATGAGGATTTAGCTGACACGCAGAGCATAAGTAGCAGCAAAGAGATGAGGGATGAGTACGCACGCGTCATTTTTGATCATTCCGAAGCGGCAGCATCACAAATGCCGCATGCTGAGGCGTTGACACAGTCAATGGAACAAAAGTTCAATGAGTATCCATTACCAAAGAGTGCGCCACAAGTGCATTATTATAGTGGTGCTGCGTCCTCAGCTGGTCGGTATGCGCCTGTACCTGTGGTCGGGAGTGGCATAGCTACTGGACGACCAGCATTGGCTGGTGTGGGTAGCAAAACGTCACCGGCGCCGCCAAAAGCTGAAGAAATCTGGACCAATTGCAATACATTGGGTTGGTCGAGACAACGCGACCATCTGCAACGGGTGCAGTTGAAAATTGGTGATATGGCGCCATGTGAGAACATTTCCATAGCAACTGTGAATAGCATGTGCACGGAAGCCACATATCAAAAGCACGATTGCACGGTAAGTCGAATATTTGTAATATTTTACGAAAGAAAACTTTTATGAATTTAAAAACTTTAAAATTTTATTAATCTACGAGTACTAAGTAAAATGTGTAGTATCAGTTCGAACATGCATGCATCGACCTTTAATTTAAAGCCCTCACCTGACTTTGTGAATGGTTAGGGTTGCCAGGCGTACCCCATTGGGGGCGACATACCCCACTTTTTGTGTATAGTATTCAAATGTTAATTTTTTTGAGATATTGGTTTTTCATTTTTATTGGTGCTTCATTTGTTCAACGGCTCCCTGAAATTACCCGACGAATAATTTTTTGAACCCCATCAGGAGTCCCATTAAAAAAAAAATAACTAACGTCACAAAAAAAAA